CCCGCGGCGGGACCCAGGGTAAATCACCCCCTGCAGCAGGGCTCGGCCCGCTCCGTGGGGCACGACTCCCGGTACCGCGGTTGGTGGTTCTGAGGGGGCCTGGCGGCCTCCGTGCCCTACTGCCTGCTGCCGGGTCTGCGTGCCGCCTGCTGCCGCGAAACCCCGTGGAAAGGCTTCAGTGAGGCGTGGTTGGGGGGAGAGGCCCGGTTGGTCCCCGCGCATGGGTTGTTGTAGTTTTTGGGCAAGCTCCAATGAAGTGCCTTCCGTTGGTATTTCAGTCACTTCTCCCCAGGGTAGGTCGGTTGTGGAAAGAGCAGCGGGGTGCTCCCGGTGACACGGTTGTGCAGACAGGTTGCAATAGCAACGCAGTTGTCTGAACGTTAATTTGGAAAGGGGCAAAGAATTGGTGCGCCTTTCTTAGCAGGGCATGGATAAATCTAGCTAGGCATTTGTAACCTCATACACCAGCATATGCTTTGATTACTTGTGAGGGAGGACAGTAGCTTAGGAACTGTGAAATCTGGATCTCGTTCCCAGCTCAGTCAATTCATGCGCTCTCCTGAGAAAATTGTCTGCTCTCTGTGAGCAGGGAGAGCAGTACTGATGTACCCTCAGATGCATTAGGAAGCCACATTGGGTGTTACTGTCTTGCAGGGATTTTTCAGTTGAAACAGAGGTACTGTTCACTCAGGCTGCACGTGTGCCTCTGATGAAAAGAATCCTAAAGAAACTTCACACTGAGCACTGAGAGATCTTTGCGTGGAGTGTACAGAAGATTACCTGCTCAGGTTGGGACTATTTGCACCTGCAGGTGTAATGGAATGGAGTAAAGTGTATTTTTAGAAATTGACTAACAAACGAAGCCGGCTCTGTTAACTTCACAAGTAATAATTTGGTTAGGCATGGTGAAACCGAGCAAACACCTTTGTGACTGTACAACCCCCACAAGGGCAGATGTGGTCACAGCGGTCATACAGAACGAAATGGATTCTCTGGTGCTTGGTTTTCTTTCACAGAGTAAAGGTTACATGTTACACTTCCTAATTAGCTGATAAACACATAACACAAAAAAGCCCTTATCTGTTAAGTTCTTTGGTGCCTGAATAATATGGCTCAGAAGTTTCTTCTTAGTTGTTTGTAAACAAACAACTTACTTTGTTGAGCTTGCTGATATATAGTGTTTCATGTTTCAAAAGCAACATGTTGGTGCTGGAGGACAACATGCACAGTAGAAATGTCGGGCAGTGGCTGAAGACAAAGACCTCTCTGGTGACTTAAAGAGAGCCTTTGTAGAAAGGGTATTTTTATCACTTAAGCTTTCCTGGTAACACAAAACACTTTAGCTGTACAATGTAGACTGGTAAGCTACTTACAGGCCACAGATCTTTTTGCCTTTTAGACTCAGAAGGCAATAGGAATTAGGTACACACATTTATTCATAGCCAGTGTCAAAGGAAAAGGTGTGTGGTCATACAACGTGGATTGATTCTGCACAGAGAATTAAATAAGTTGCTATTTTGAAGCTGTGAATTAAGGAAGGAGGATGTCACATCTGGCCTCTAATAGACATAACAATAAGCATCTCTGCAGTTGGCATTTTTTGGCAGCATCAGTAGAAGGAAAAGTCTGAAAACAGCATGGAATTTAAACTCCTTTCCAATTAGCAGAAGTAAATCCTTTTAAGGAACTGAACAGACAGTCTGCAGAAATTTTGCTCAGATATTGTGTGAATCATTTTTGCTCCCCAGATAAATCATCAGTTGAACCTGCTGGGTTCCTGACCCGACCTCTGAATGCTGGAGAAAAACCTGGCTATGCAGACACAGAAACGTTATGTGCCTTCTGATCCACCACCAGACAGAATTCAGCAGAGGAGTAAGGATGTATTAATATTACGTTCTTCTATTGACAGATTGAAAACCTAGAATGGCAGGAGAACAGAAACCATCCTGCAATCTTCTAGAGCAGTTTATTTTACTAGCAAAAGGTACAAGTGGCTCAGCTCTGACTGCTCTTATAAATCAAGTGCTGGAAGCTCCTGGGGTTTATGTCTTCGGAGAGCTCTTGGAGTTAACGAATGTGCAAGAGGTAAGAGATAAGTATCTATCCTAATGCCCCTTCTGCACTCCAAGTATAAAGGATCCCCAAAAGTTTCCACAGACAGTCTTTGCATGAAATTTCTGTGTCAGGAAGGCCCTGGTGTGACTTATCTTGGTTCTGAGATGTTTGCATCTGAGAGATAGTAATCTTTTGCTGTATATATTAGACATTAAAAAAATTACCTATATAAAGCTTTGCTATCTTAACGCCATTGCTAATACAGCAAATACCAGGCAGTAGCACAGTAACAATTTTAAGAAGGCACCTAGCCAGCCAGCAACAAAAAAAAAATCCCTTTCTACTCCTTCATTGTCCTGGAAAGCATAACTTCAGTGCTCTCCCAAAGTCCTTGTGAGCAGATATCCAGTGTATCGGGGCTGGGTGGCAATCAAATCCAAGCCATTTCAAATGAACGTGGAAAGTAAGCTCCAGAGCTTTTACTGAGGATGCCTTGCCAGCACCCCCCTCTACTATAATGGGGGAATCTAGGTTGAGTATCTCTGCAGCTGGGGTAATGTGTTGTACGGCAAGTTTGGCTTTCCAAACAGGCTCTTGGGTATGCCTAAAAATGTCTCTATGGTTATTCAGCATCAAATTGCAAGTACATTTTTTTTCCTGGATCCATTTGCAGCAAATGGTAATAGAAAAACTCCACTCAATAAAAGTCACTGCTTGGTGCTGCAGTTATTCCAGTGATGTGTTTGCATGCGAGAGGACTGCTGTTACTTTCAAATGCATTCCACATAAAATGTTCGAGCTTGCTTTGCTTTGAAGTTTTTGTGGCTCTTCAGGTAAGCTGTCTTAGCTTTCCCAGTAATAAATGCTTAACCACCATTGCCTGCTTGCTTGTTACACGATGAGAAGACCTGCCCTGTAGGTTGTCAGCTGAAATTAAGAGTCACCTTTTTCATTTTACCTCCTAAGGTGCTGCACAAAGCACTTGGCAGTCCAAACTGTAGTTAAGTTCTGGTGCATAGAATTGGCTGGATCATCGTGACTCTAAAACTGCTGAAATTTGCTGCTGCTCATGAGGCCTTAGAAAAGGCCAGCTCTTTAAGGTCATGACATAACCTACTGACTGTCCTGTGTAGACTTAAAATGTTCTCTGGTGAAGTTACCCGTGAGGGTTCTGTTGACTGTTAACATGCTACATGGAATTTATTTTGTTTTCTTGCCATCCAGCTTGCTGAAGGGTCTAATGCTGCTTATTTCCAGTTGCTGAACCTGTTTGCATATGGAACGTACCCAGACTATATAGGTAAGAGACTGATGCCTGTTTGCAGAGTGTGAGACTGGGTCGTCCTTTGCTTTCTGTGGTACCTGCGTAGTGTTTCTGGGTGAAAGTGTACAAGAACAGGATTTGCTTGTGAGGAGAATTGTTCATAGTGGGTCTTTGGATCATGCGTGCTTTTTAATTGCTGAAATGTGAAGGAAGGCCTAGAGACTACAGTGTTTTACTGATTTGGATGGGACTGCAGCGCTGGATTGAATTGGTCTGTAGCAGTATTCATTGTTGTTCACAGGCCACTTACCTCTGTGGAGTGCAATTTCAGATACCTGTTTTGAAATATAGATGACACCAGTTATGGAAGCTGCAGAAAACTTAAGCAAAATTGTTCTGCATTATTTATAAAAACCTGTATGGTTTGTAGGATAACCTTTTATTCTGTAACAGCATTGCTGAAACAAAATGAAGAATTTCTTAGCTAGACTACAAATAGAAATAATGATTTTTATGTGGCTTCAGAAGGGCTATGTGTGAATCATCTTAGTATCTGTGGAGATGAGCTTTTATCTCTGGTGCTTATGCTTCCGTTCTGCTGCGATTTAGTACTTCATTTGTGGGTAGCAGCCTTATCCAGACCATTACAGAGTGTGACAGATAATTCTGTCATGGTGCTTCCTATCACTGTGGTGGATGAGCTATCTAGTTCCTGTAAGGAGAAGTGGCATCCATAAGTACAAGGACTGGAAATTCCAGTGGCTGTGGAGCAACACAAGCCTTATGAATTCTGTGACGGATTAGAGGATTGTTTGCTGTGCTTGGATCTTGTGTCCCAGTATGTGACAGCGCAGTTTGTTCTTCCTTTTCTAATGAAGAAAGAGAAAGGGGGAAAAGAAGTCAAAATGAAGAGCATTGAATGAGGTGGGATGGGAGGGAGAACTTGAGTAGTCCTGAAACACTAATTTCCATTAAAGTGGGTATTTTAAAGAGTTTCTTTGCTTTGGAAAGCTGCCAGTTTCCCTTCTGTTTTTAAATATTCATGAGGCATATGGCTATAATACAATGACAGTAAGGCCATCTAGATTAATAATTTCTCCTCTCTTCCTCAGCCTGGTACTTTACACTTTCAACCCTAAATTCTGCAGCTTTTCAGAGACATAAAACCAGCTGTATTTACAACCAGATCAGCAAAGGGGGAAGATTTTATCCTGTCAGCTCATTAATGAAACAAAAATGACTTGGTGGTAGAAACAAAGCATTGACCAACTGTTTTGGCAGGACAGCGCTTACGTAGATGTAAATTACACTCTGATTTCAAAACCAGAATTACTAAAGAAGCAGAGAAGAATGGAATTGCCAAATTGTTTAACTTTCCCCTTTCTCCTTGGGTTGCTAATCTGTCAGCAGTAGCTCTCTCTGCTTACCAGCTCCCACAGTAGCTGAAGAGGTTAGCCTTTCAGGGTTTAGTGTAGTATAACCATCGTGAAGTTCTGCATACTGGTCTGTATAATCCTTGAAGTCAAGTCCTGAATCTTGTCTTTTTAACATTAACAGCAAACAAAGATAACCTGCCTGAATTAACAGTGACTCAGAAAAACAAGCTGAAACACTTGACGATTGTAAGCCTGGCTTCCAGAATGAAGGTAAAGTACACTGTTTATGATACAAATGTGGTTTTGGTTTTGAAAATGCCATCAATTCTTCAGCATTGAAGTTGTATTGGACTTCATGAGTACTCATGCAACTAGGGAAGTATCTGTAATGTATAGTATTATCTTGTGGTGCATTTGGGGCATTGATTTAGTGGATGAGATTTGGGGGTGTCTGAACTGCCATGCAAATTGGTCAGGTAGGGCTGGGACACTTTGTATGGCTTCTTTAACAGTTGAAGAAACAGCAAACAGAACATTGCAAGGAATACTACATCTTGAGATTCTTAAAAACACTGACTTTTTGTTCTAGAGAAAACTAAGCAGCACTCTTAAAATCATCTCCAATCCCATCTTTTCCTCCAGAATGTGCCAAAGCTTCAGGAATTACCAAAGTTGAGTCAGAATATCATGTAGCCTAGTAGCAGGTGTTTGTTCTGCCATGATCAGTCACTGATGTACTTGCAGATTAAAGTGTAGGATACAATAAACATTTGGGTCTTGACCTCCTGTGACTTAGCTGTTCATTTTGGCTCTAGGACTGTTAACTTATTCTTGGACTTGCTGTTTTTAGTGCATTCCATATTCTGTGTTGCTGAAGGACCTTGATGTGAAGAATCTGAGGGAGTTGGAAGATCTGATTATTGAAGCGGTTTATACAGATATTATCCAGGGGAAGCTGGATCAACGAAACCAGGTGCTAGAGGTGGATTTTTGTATCGGCAGAGACATTCAGAAGAAGGACATCAGTAATATTGTCAAAACACTCCAGGAATGGTGAGGCAGCCTCCCCACCTTCCTTGTTCCTTGTACATAGCTTATCTTGTTTTAAAATTGCCTCAAAGTTTTGTGTGCTGGCTCAATTTCACCATGTTCCATTAATCAGGAGTCTTACGTTTTAAATAAGCAGCATTGGAGGAGGAGTCTATTGGGCAAGTTTTCAAGATCCCATGTAGGATTCAATGTGCCTTATGTATCAAGCCAGACTATACTAGGTCTTGAGAGTCTGCTTTTACATGGCAGAATCCTAGCTAGGAGTCAAGGCCTTTTCAAACAGACATGCCAAACTGGATTCATGGTCTTATAAGTGGGAGCTACTCCCCTTTCCGCTGTTACACTTGGCAACAAAAACAGAACAGTCCATTACTTTTCAGCCTTTTTCACTGTGATGAGAACTGCACGGGCAAGTTATAGAGAATCACAGTACTTTGGAGGGGATGCATCTTCAAGTTTGAAGTTTCAGGTGCTTTTGTTTGCCTTCTTCTTGTTCCTGCAAATGCAGGCTGCATGCAGCCATATTGGGACTGTGGTACTATCTTTTTGTACCTTTGCCAGGAAGCTGCTTCTCTTCTTTTAGTAGGATTCCCTTCCTACCCAGAAAAATTCCCCTGTATACTGTGGAGCCTATGGCAGGTTCTGAGCTGACTGGGAATTGCTTCCTAGTTGCTATGGTAATGAGTGCATGAAAAGTAATTAAACTTCTGGGCAAATATGCTGTCCTGAGGTGGGGGCAGGTTTTTTGCTTCTGTACTCCAACTGCCTCAATCCCATCATGGCAGGAGGGCTCTGACAGCTTCCAGGCCCTTACAGCATTGTTTGGAAGGTAACAATGAACCCACTGCAAATTCCCTTTCTGTCCTCTCCAGTTACGAGTTCTGTCTTGAGTGCTCTTGTCTTTTGAACACTTAACAGGCGGGGAGGTTATCTCAATATGACTTTTTTCTTTAATTTTAAAATTTTACTTACTTCTGAAAAATGTTTCGCATCCCCATGTAAGCAGTAATTCTGAGTGAAAAGGAAGTTGAAAGTGCATTGAACCAGCACTTTTTGATGGTAAGAATAACATGGACTCTGAAGAGTGCTGTGAAACACATTGAGTAAGTAGTTAAGCTTTTACTTGCCAGCTTTTTATACCCCCTCTTTAAACAGGGATATAAATTCAATAATCTTCTAAGCTTGTAGGTGAGCATGATTTTTCAGATTGCCTGATTGAGCTGCTCCAGAGGGAACTCATAAACACTGATATTGTTTGTATCTTGCAGGTGTGATGGTTGTGAAGCAGTTCTTTTAGGAATTGAGCAGCAAGTACTTAGAGCCAACCAATACAAAGAGAACCATCACCGAACTCAACAGCAGGTAGAGATCGAGGTGGGTACAGAGTCGCTTCAGACCACTCTATGCTTTTTGATAAATGTTTGTTTACTGAAGACAGTCTGGTAACACCTGGTTAATGGTCATGGCTTCTCTATAGGCTAGCAATCATGCAAATCAGATGTGCTGATTTGGGGTAAGGAGAAAACACATCTGCTTCCATGTGCTAGTAACACCACAAATACCAAATTTGCCTACTCTTAGCAGGTGGGAACTTTTCTTTTAGAATTGTTAGAAATTTAGGCTAGGTGACTGCACTAGCTACGGTTTCCTGAATTGCTTTGTTAGGAAAAGTGTGCTTTTAACAGAGCTTTGGTACAATTCTGTTCCTTTTGTACAAGGCAGGAAGGAAGGAAAAACAGTTCTTTGTTTTAAACCTGAAAGTGTAATAAAAGTCACTCGAGCCTCATTGCTTTTGCAAAAATGCCCTCAGCACCTTCGTTTGTGGGGTCAGGTTGAGTACCCAGGCAGTGCTCTCTGACGCGCTCTTCAGCAGTGTGAGGCAGGAGCGCTTCTGCTTCTGTTCCATGCACAGCTAGGCAGTAGATGGCAGCACGGGCACGCGGTTTTAGTCCTTGCTGTGTATTTACTTCTGAGAACAAACCTTGGCTAATACAACTGTAAAGGTGAAAATGGTCCTCCTGAGACACTTTCTCAGGCTTTATTTCTTGCAGTGTTGCATCCCTGAAGGTTTACGTTTGCCTTCTGAAGCAGCATATGCTTGGCAGCTTGATTGGCATCCATAGTGCATTTGGGTTGCCAGATGCCTTTGGCCTGGAGTTGGCCACCTGACTCCCAAACTTGTTTTGGCCCATGGGTTTTTTTAAGCTTTGCTCTTTGTACTTTTAGTGAGCCCTGCAGGGTTCCAGGGGACAGAGTATGGTGCCTGGTGCTGGATCTCTCCTTTTCAGACAGAGTAACAGAAGCACTACTCCTGCTTCCCACCAGACCAATTCCTATTCCTGCTTCTACCAAATATCTGTAGCTCAAACAACCAGCTAGGCCAAATGGCATTTTCCCTTTTCAAGCGCTGTCATATGTGTAAGTTTACGTTTTTTATCACAATCTCCTTTGTCCTTCCTGATTCTGGTCAACAGAATGACAGCCTTCTACACCAAGGCAGTAGTAGGTCCCTCTGCCAGCCAGAGAGGTGGTACAATATTGTGCTCTTGTCTCTTAGGAAAAAAAAAGTAATCTCTAGTTATTCCGTATTGGACCCAGACTGGAAATATTAACAACTCTGGCTGTGAGGTTGAAACATTACCTTTAATAAACTCAAGTGCAGAGCATATTTCTGGTGGGAGAGTTTATTTTATAATCTTCATTCTGTACTCCAGGGATTTTTCAATGTGCTTATGAACAGAGTTTTTGCTGTCAGGGGAAGAAGAAGCAGGTGCTGATTCATTGTCTCTTCTTGGCCAGGTCACAAACATAAAGAAAACATTAAAAGCTACAGCCTCGTCGTCGGCACAGGAGATGGAACAGCAGCTGGTAGAGCGAGAGTGCCCTCCACACACAGAACAAAGGCAGCCCACAAAGAAGATATCCAAAGTCAAAGGGCTGGTTTCCAGCCGTCACTAGAACATACCATCTGAGTGTCATTCAGCTAGGAATGACAACAGGAGGAGCAAACAAGGGCCTGCGTCTCCTTTTTCGGTGGGTTCTGGGCCAGTCTTTTCGAGGCTGGCAAATAAAAGCCCTGCTTGAAACAGCTCCCAGTTAGCAGCACCTGGCTAAGTTACCCTGTGCAGCCCCTATTAATTTTCAGGGTGTCCCTCTTCTGGTCCTGTAAAGAGGGACTTCTAAAGAAAGGGACTAACCAAAAGGGGCAGGACAGAAGAAAAAAAAAAAGTCTGTGGACAGTTTTGCTCCCTCCCAGCCAGTCCCATTGCTGCTTAACCTTGAGGAAGCTGCTGTACTAAATCAGGTCTTGGGAGAACTTCTGTAGGAGGTGTCTGAATCCCAGGGTTGAAGTGTGGCTACCAAAGCCAGGCTGGGAGCGAGGAGGCCATCAACACAGATCTTTTCATTCCCAAAGGGAGTGCAGAAAGGTTTCTAGGCCAGGAATTGCTTTACATGGAAGTCTTCAGCCTTTCCGCTACCCCTGTCTATTTCAAACTGGGGTGAAATTCACACTACCTCGCTCTGTGAAGATGAGATCTAGTGCTGGGCTGTTTACTTAACTGTCTGTTTACTGCCCTTACTAAGCCCTTTAATCTCTCACAGATTTAAAGCACTGTTCTGCATCTCTGAGATGTCAATACAATAAGGAGGAAGCAGGATGCTCTTTCAAGACTTCCCTATTGCAGGTGGTTAGGGTCATACTAGAAACTGTTTATTCTGAATGTGATGTGACCTTCCAGAGCTGCTTGTGAGTTGTTTCCCCCATTGATACCTTCAAAGGGTAATGTATTAGCTCTTCTTGGATGCTAGCGACAGTGGTCTGCATGGCAGAAGAGCCTGTTTAGCACTGTACCTGGCTGGTGGCCCAGGACCCACTGGCAGGGGTCGCAGCAGCATCCCTTGCTGAAGCAATGGACTTGACTAGTTTTTCTGAATTTTGAACACTTTCAGGTTGTCTTTTCCTCCCTTTTTTTGTACATTGTTGTGATTTTAAAGCATTTCAGCCTTTGTTTTGTGTTTTTTATTTGTTACAGACTAACTTCAGGTGATTTGCACCTCATTTGGCAAGGTGTGGGGTTTTTTTTTAAGGGGGAGGATGGGGTTGGCATTGAAACAGCAATTCAAAAAAAAAGCACATTTTAGGAAAAAATTAAAAATGCTGATTTAATGTCAGAGTCTGGAGTCTTGGCTTTGAGGCTGCTTTAGGTTTTGTAATCTAAGAGCACTTGTTCACTTGAGCATTTACTTGATGTTACATTATCAGAAGGTCTGACTAATGTCCCTCATGCATCCAGGAGGCAGGGAAGTGCTCTTCCCATTTTGTCAGTAGTTCATCTTTGTCCAAATCTGTGCAGAAGGATCTGTAGCAGAGCCAGTAGCTGAGCCCAGAGTTCTGAGCCTAAACACCTTTAATGCCTGATTGTGGATGGTTTCTATCTGTACTCTGTCTTAGGCCAGTTGATACCTTCCTCTGGGTCTGGCAGAATACTGCTTTGTAGTTTGGCCCCTGCATTTTGCTGCACTCCATGCTGTAAAGAGAAGGGCTTCCTGTGAGTGGGAAGGGGAGCTGTTTAAGCAGAGGGCTGTGACAGTGCTCCAGTCCTGCAGCCAGCTGTCACCTGCACTTGCTTGTGCAATGCATGTGCCGTCTTCTTATTGCTACCAGACTTCTTTGCTGTCTGCGTGTTTTCAGTCCTCAGTCACAGGATCTGTTGTACGCTTGGGAAAGTAAATTCCTCTCCTTTTACTCTCCTGCAGTGCAGGCACACCAGCTTTTAATCTTGAGAGGTGGACCTAAATACTTCCCATCCAGCATCCTCTGAGTCAAGTTGCTTGATTTCTGATTCTTTGTCAGCTCTCTCTCCCCCTAGAAATGTTAGTCAGAAATTACCCAGGGAAGAAATGTTAAGTGAATGAGGCCAAAGCAAGAAGCTTTCCCCTGTATTTTAAGGGAACTGTTTCCCAGGCAGTGGCAGTACTAGTTTCTTTACTAGCTTCTTGCAGTGTTTAGCTGACAGCTTCTAAAGAGGTGTAGGTAGACCTTGTGACTTTGTGTACCCAAGTCTAATAGATCTGTGTGTTGGAGATGTACTGAGTCTGTTTCTGACTTCTTGTGTGGACAGCTGCAGTGTACTGGTCATCCAGTTCCTCACTGGGTTTTGAATAGTGAGGAGAGGTTCTGTAGTCCTCACTAGCTGTTCTCTTTCCTTCCCATTTTTAATATCAGTCCTGCAGAGAGGCAGTAGGAATACGAATGCCTTGGGAAATCACTTTAGCTACTCGGCAAGCCACAGTCTGCTGGGGAAATAGATGTGAATTTGGCATCCTTGGTGTTTATTCCCTGCCAGTTACAGGAGTCACATTAGTTTGCTGAAGCTTCTTTACTGTGTTGGAAGTTTTCAAGTTTGTATATTTTTGCTGTTCTCAAAGCCTGGCTGGAGGTGAAGAACTTATTTATGCTTCAGTACACACTGCCTTTGATCAGCAAAGAAGCAAGGGAGAAAATAGGACTTTGAATAAAGAGCTGTCCCATATTTGATGGCGATAGAGGACAGCGAATGGAATAGGATGTTGGAGGGAGCTGAGCTATTTGCATGTTTGGCTTTCCTGGTGTGCCAGCAACGTGCTTGGTGCTGCGAAAGGAGGGGGGGTGTCTTTGCAATGAGCCCAGTCTGAGATGAGTCATTAACAAATGACATGCACAGAGTACCTGGGGGAGGCAAACAGCTCTGCAGCAGCTGGTTAATGAATCTGGCTTGAAGGAAAGAGTTAGAAGCTATTCCAGGAATGAAGCAGAAGGCATAGTTGTTAACAGGGAAGGATGCAGGAGGTGCTATGCTGTTTGAGAAGGACAACAGATAAAGACAGCATTGCCTCTGTGACTTACAGGGAGTGCAGCAACTCGGAGAAGAGTTGTGTGAATTAGGGGCTGGTGTGGGCTGAATTGCGGACAGTTTTAAGTGGGGAGTGCGTAGGGAGCTTAATTGTGCCATGGGGACAAGAGGGAGGTGGAAGCAGAGGTAGATTTAATGCAAACTTCCATGTATTGCATGTGCCTGCTGGAGGCAGCTAACACAGCTTGTCTGTGTGCTGCTGGACACTGCTCCCTGATGTGGGGAGAGCATCTTACCCTACTTTGTTTTATGGCGGCAGTGGGCCGCTCCAGCGAGGGCTCGCTTCAATATTACAGCAGGACAGAGTTTGAGCTATTGAACTTCTGTTTGCCTCCTCCACCCGGAGGGAGACAAAGTAGACGGACCTGCCTTCCCTCTGCTCTTCAGGGCTTTATTGTCTGGCTTCATGTTCTGCAGCTCCACTTGTACTAGTGCTTGTTTAATCTGGAATTGAGCACTGAGCTGGAAAATGGAAGAGAAGATCTCGGCTGATTGCAGTGCTGGTAGACTGCCCTAGCCCTAAAGCTGTGCCTTGTGCTAACCAATGTCCATGATACCAGCTAACATCAGGCAATTCTGGAACATGATAAAGCCATGCTGATGTCAGTCTTTTTACAGAAAATTAAAAAAAAAAAAAAGTTTTGGCTCCAAACCTATCCTTCTTTTACTTCCCTCCTCACCTTCTTAGATAAGTGGAATGTTAGCTTAGTCTTCTGTTGAGAGCAGGAGGAAAAATCAGTGATGCTGACAGACCTTCTGTGTTCAGATTGGAGACCCATCCTGCAATCAGTCGTGTGCAGACTTCTGAAAATCCATGGGTGTTTGTGGAGGTGCACACAGGCTTGCAGCCCTCTCCATGGCTCACATACAAGAGTAGGACCTGCAGAGCTGCTCTCCAAAGTGAGGCTGGGGAAAGGGAATCTTTTATTCCTATAGAAGAGAGTGGTGGTAAGAGATGGCCGTTTTCCCACCAGCCCTGCAAAGAGAATTTTGCTGAACAGCTTTCTGTTCTTGGAGGAATGGAAAATTATACAAAACCCAATGAGTGTTTTTGGTTTTAGTGTTCTGCTTATCCGATGGGGGGAAAATGCATTGGTCCATGTGCATATAAAGGGAGTTGGGCTTACTCATTGCACTGGAGGCAGAAGGGAGAGTGCCATCAACTTTGATAGCTGTATTGAAATGTAAAACACGCTTTTCCTAAATTTTCAGTTTGTACAGGTTTATATGGGTGCATCTAAGCTGTTTAGAGAGCCCATCTCCTGCCGGGGTACAAAAGTCAAAGCTGATGTATTCGTAGGCCTGTTGCTGCTGCTGTTTCTTACTTCAGTATCTGAGCCTGGTGCAGACTTTGCAATGGAGAGAAACAAGGTTGCTGTTCATTCTGAGTAATGGGGAAGGGAGAAATGAAAGAACCTGCCCCACAGGTACCAGCTAGCCAGACCTCTGGCACTTCATCCCATACAAAGTTTTCTTTTGTGGTTCCCCCTGCCCCCAAGTCCTGCATAGCTTTGATCTAGTGCATGGGAACTAAACCCTGAATCTGTCTATCTTATTTTTGTGTAATCTGAGAAACCCAGAGGCTTCGAGATAGGTAAGTTAAAGTTTAGCATGATCTCAATTACTACTCTTAACCTCAACCTTGTATTTTTATTATGGAATTTTAACCTGACAGTCTGATTGAATTTCTCAGCAGAGTTTTCAGAAATATGTTATTGTTTCACTGTGCTCCATGGTGAAGGTCAGTGTCTCTCAGGGACTGTTGACATTTTGCTGATAATTTTGTCAAGTTTGGCCCTACCACAGAGCTACCAGAGGTAGGTGATTGAAGCTAGAGAGGTGTATTGTAAAGAGGATGTGTATTTTCCTCCTAGGCTGAGCTGCACCTTGCTTCTTAGTGGCTCTGTGGTGGTACTTCCATCTCTGATTAGTGAACCAGGAAAAGGGTTAAGCAAAGCAGCACTTTGCTCCCTGCCTCGAAGTACCCAGGCACACTGCTGTTTAACATGGTGTGTAGACCTCGTGAGATGCCCTGATGTATTTCCTACATTGCAAATTGCATGAGTGTGATAGCTGTTACCGTGGCTTTTTCATGTCAAGAAGAAGGAAAGATGTCCCTGCTCTAGTGAATGTATATACACACTGGAAATTCCAGGTGGTAATGGGATGCCACAAGGTCATTTAACAATCCTGAAATGTGTATTTCCCCACAGAGTACAAGAGGCTCTGTGCTAGCAGTCCTTGCTTAGTGTAATTTTAGTAGAAGATAGGACATCTTTCCG